TCCTAAGAATAGCAGACCCACCCATGCAAGAATGGCTTGGTGCACATTTATGGGCAGGTGTGCTGGGAATGTCCCTTACCTAAGGGTCTTGCCAGGAAGATGGGGGATCCAAATAGGAAAACAGCTTCTACCAAAGATAGAGGCCTCCAGCAGGATGAGGTATGAATCTGAGTTGTGGGCTGAGGGAGAGTCACCGCCAACCTTTTGTCCTCATCCTTCAAGGCCCTACACAAATGCCTCTTCTTCTACAGAGCCCTTCCGTCCCTCCACTGCAACCCAGGGTTTGTCAGGGTCTGGACACCAGCCCTGCTGAGATCAGCCACTTCCTGCCAGGACATAGGATTGTGTGTAGGGAAGTGGTACTCCACAGCAGGCACTGTGCTGTCCACACTAGGCATGCTGTCACACACACTCTGTGGCCTCCTCTGTAACCCACATCCTTATCAGACCAGAGACCTGAATTAAAACAGGCAATCTCTTCCAGGAGGCCTCCCCTGGCTGGCCCAGCCCTGACACAGTTTCCTCTGACCCACTCATCAATCTGACTTTCTGCCTGTGGCACTGCGGACTCACAAGGCTTGGGATGAACCACACCATCTTTCTGAGGTGGCCCTGCAGCCATCATGGTCCTTGTGCCCTGGCCTTGTGGAATTACCACCTGTCCATTCACAGGCATAGAGTCCTGTATTGAAGGAGATGTAGGCAAACACCAGAGCAGCACTTGGGGCCCAGCTCAGGCTGCCAGGGAGCCACGGAGGACAATGCCAGCATCCTTCCAGGGGCCAACTCTCAGAGACCCTCCCATGTTCCCATGGACTTGCATGAGGTATGAGGAAGTGACTTAGATGCTAAGACTCTGACACCAAACTGCCTAGGCTCAAATCCCAGCCCTAACACGCACCAGCTGGGCACCTTGCGCAAGCCGTTCACCTCTCTGAATATCAGTGTCTTCATAAAATGGGAACAACAAGAGTTAGGAAAGATAACACGTATCATACATGGGGAACATGGCCTGCCAGACAGAAATGAGAGGGACAAAGAGGCAGAGAAGACAGAATGATAGAAAGCACCACAAAGAGAAAGCAGCAAGGACAAGCCCTAGTTTTGGAAAACTGTTAGCCATTTATGAGAGTATTAGACTCCACAACAACAAGGCCTAAAGCCTGGAGAGCTGGTATCAGCTCCTGGATGGGATGGGAAAAGATCCTGGAAGTCCCAGAGGAGGAGGCCTTGACTGTAGGTTGGGAGAGCAGCTTCTAACGCTGTGAGCAAGGCCACCAAGGCAAGGTGTGAAGCATCTCTAAACAATCCACCTATGCTGGGAAATTCCACTATTTGCATTTCTTAGGGTTTGATGCCCTCCCTAGGATCCTTGTTTAAAAAGCAAATTGCCCTGTCCCAGCAGTTCAGGAGGCTCTACCCACGTGGAAGCACCTGAGGGCCTCAGGTCCTCTCCTTCGGATAGAGGAGCAGCCTGGGAGATGCTGGGGCGCAGTGAAAACACTACTGGGGACTCTGTTGTACGGGACCCCCAGCCCCTCCACATGATCCTGATATGTTGACTCAGTAGCAAGTGGCCCCACAGAGGCTGATCTGACCGGTCTGGAGATGGTAGGTGAGGGGGTGGCAACTGCCAAATGAGAAAGTACCTGGCCTGCCTGGCAGCCCCACCCAGCCTCAAATCCAGCTCTGCAGCACCAGCTCCAACAGGCCAGCCCCACCCATGGAGCAATGCAGAGATCTCCTGGGCATGTGTATCCAGCACCCCACCACTCTACTCTCTTTAACCAACACAGGAAGAGAAGGGCACTGGGAACCCTGAGGGCCTCCAATATGCTCCAGTGGTCAGAGGGGAGGGCCCCCCCAGAGCCCAGAGACAAGAAAGAAGGCTACCTCTCCTCCCACGTGCTGAGCCCCTTTGTCTCCTCAAGGCCTTTTATTGTTTTTATTTATCTAAGGGCCAGGGTCACTTCTGCCTGACAGGAGACAGAGCCACATGTGGGCTGGGCAGGAAGTTAGGAGAGGAAAGGATCTGGCCTCTGCTGCAATCCCCCATCCCAGTCAAGCCACGTGGCTTCTGACCACTAATTCCGGGTCCCTATTTTCTGGGTCTTGGATGTGGTGAGGTGACTGATGGAGTGCAGATCTGCAGGGCTGTGCCCAGTTGGAAGTGAAGCCGATGGGCGCCAATTAACCAGTTAGGCCTGGTAGGGGCACAAGCAAGCGGTCAGTAGGAGGCAGGCCCCGGCCCCCATACTCGGCAGGCAGTCCTCCAGTTCTGGCCAAGTGCTTAGGGTAGAATGGGGAATGACATGACTACACTGGCGGCGGAAGCTGGCCTTGGGAGGGAGCTGCTGATTGTGAGAAAGGCCAAGAGGGACCAGGCTAGCGGTCAGGAGCTGAGGGAAAAGGGGAAGAGGCCCAGGTCCCCAGGAAGGAGGAGCCTGCTCCTCTAGGGCCCCCACAGAACAGCAACAGCTACAGGGAGAGCAGCCACAGCTCTTCCTGTTTCACAAGTGCCTACTGCATTCCCGGCTTCATGCTGAGCACGATCTGCCATGTTGGGCAACAAGGCTGAGAGGGTAGGCATGGAGAAAGGCCAGGGCACTAGGTCTGGACCACCAAGAAAAGCGGAGATGGCCTGAACAAGTCCAGGGTACAAGATGGGGACAGGCCAGCCTGGGAAACTGGGATGTAGGTCTGGGGAAGCAGAAAGACCCGGAGCCCAGGGCCTCCACCTAGGCTGACCTGGGAAGCTGGGGAAAGGGCTAGGCAGAGAGAGGGCTGAGGCCCAATCGTGAAGTAGCTGAGCTCCCTGGGCCCAGGCCTATCCATGTGCTGAGGTCCCCAGGTCCTGGCCTTCCTGGGCAGGAGGTAGAGGCGGTAAGCAGAAAATGTCACCTCCCTCCTCAAGGCCAGAACCACCGTTCACAGGACAGGTACAGTGTGTCAGAGAAAGACGTAAGAGCCTGCCGGGCTGGGTAGGGACTTCCAGGGCTAGTCACTGCAGTGGGAGGGGTGAGGGGGCAAGAACAGGAAGAAGGGACCAAATCTGATCCACATTCCCTTTGAGGGCCAATTTAGGGCCAGGTCCTGAAGGTCCCAAGCCAATAGCCCTAGCCATGGTCACCTATAAAGCCTAAATTAGGGGTACAGGAGAGGAATCTGTTCTAGGCCCACCCCAGTTCCGAGTCCAGAACAGAGAAAGCATTGAGGCCCGACATTCAAGAAGTAGTTTGGAAGGTGCTGCAGTCAGAAGTCCCCCCAAGTCACTTGTCAGACACAGCACCTATAGGGAGGACCTAGGCCCAGCCTGCTTAAAGCTAGTGCTGCCTGGGCCCTGGAACTATAGCCACCTACTGCCCACCTGCCTTGCTCACGGCACCTGAAGCAGCTATGGGGCTGATCAGAGCTCAGCATTCACTCACAGGGCCAATGCTTGGGTATTAAGAAGAGGTTCTCTGGCCACAGGCAGCCCCTTGCCCACGCAGACTGCCCCTTGACACTAGCACAGGTGAAAGGGATAAGATGGTGCTGAGGGAGAGGGTGAAAATGTACACTTCTCACCCCCTGAGTCCTATCATCCGTCAGAGGAGCCATCTTTTCCCTGAAGGACTCAAAGAATCCCTTGCCTGGTGTTCTAAAAAGGTCCCCAACTCCACTCCACTGCTGAGTTAGTAGACAAGAAGCTGTGCCTGAGACCCAGCCTCACTAGCCCAGCCCTGAGCCTCCTCCGTACCCATCCTCACTATCTCCTCCAAGACCACCCTAGGGAAACGACCCCTCTGTCAGCCCTGGTGCCCCTGGGAAGACACAGGGAGCTGAGCCCAGGTTCCTCCTCAGACACTTGCAGATCCTGTGCCCTAAATAAGTCCTGTAGCCTCTCCAGGACTGCATCAGGCTCCATACCAGTTATTCTGCGCACATCATCTCATTCCAAGCTCACATCAATCGCTATCTTTCCCCTGAACAAAGGCAGAAAGCCTGGTTTCAAGAGTCCAGAATCTAGTCCAGAGTCACAGAGCTCGCAAAGGCAGGCCAGAGATTAGAGCCACATCTGCAGGACTCTGAGCTCAGGCTCATAATTGCACCATCTGTAAAACAAGAAGATCCTTTGTTGTGTTCTTCTTGTGGCCTCCAGGGGCCACTCTCCTTGCCATGCTCTACCTGTCCAGGTCGCCACTGGCACAAGCTGCAGTTGAGTGGAGTTCCCAGATTCAAGGGATTCTGGGTATGGGACAGAGAACTGGGCTCATAACTAAGTGCCTTAAGCCAGAACTACATAGCTAAATCAGCCACCCACCGAGCTCCCCGGATTCCACCTGTATCAGCGAGGTCTTAGCCAGGCCTGTGGGGAGCCTGTGGGGTGACATGGCTAGATGACTGGCTCGCCCTCTGCCCAGGAACCAGGGTGGGTCAGCCATGAAGCAGGGCTTGCCCCTTTCATCGTGGGGCCGGTGACTCAGCTGGAGCCCATCAGCAGCCTCCCGCCCACAGGTGAGATGGGCACCAGCCTTGCCCACCTGTGAGCCCTGGGAGGCTCCCACCACTCCAGCCCAGGCAGGCAAAGGCCACAGGAGAAAGTGGCTCCACCCCAAACTTTAGTGGTGACTTGGCCTCAGGCAGAGGGAAATTCATACCCATTCTAGTCTGAAGAGTTTCTCATGGAAGAAGACCCCCACCCCCTCATCCCCGTAGGTGGGAGCACATAGGCCCAGTCAGGAGCCACTCCTTCCATGCTTCCGGGTACAGCAGGCTCTACCCAGACAGACTCCACCCTTTGCTCCCTGGAACACCCTGAGCTTAGCGAGGTTAAGCCTCCGTTTCCCCATCTATAAAGCAAGGGAGGACCAGAAGCCTGACTTTACAGGGGAATATGAGTATGAAACATGATGCTAAGCACAACAAGCTTAGCAGGGGCCCTGCTTATACTGTGCAGCCACAGGACTCTGATGTTGGGCCCACCAAGTCACCCAGGCGGCAGTGAGGGGGTCACTGACCTTCATGGCACATTTCTGCCCGGTTCGCAGGTGGAAGCACTCCCGCACCTTGCCGTTCACACCCAGGCCCAGCACCTGCTTGGACAACTGGTAGTCATCCGTCACTGCGTACTTCTTGGGTTCCTGCCGTCCCCCGAGGGCCGGAGCACCAGCTGAGCCTGATCCGCTGGGTGCACCTAGCAGGGGCACGGGGTCCTCCTGTTCCTCTGCTGTCTCGCCATCCATGGCCCCCGTGGGGCGCTCTGAGGCGGCCCCAGCCTGGCGCGTCGGGTGCCACCTGGGGGAGAAGGGAAGAGTGAGTTCCGCCCAGACTCCTTAAGGGCTGGGGGCAGCGCTAGTAATGCGAGGCGAACTGCCAGAGAGCACAGACGCGCGGCAGGGGGCGGTGATCGGGCAGCGAGACACAAGAGAGTGCCGCCCAGCTACCAATCAAGAGGGGAAGGACCCTGGCCAGAGTGGCAGCAAGGTCCCGGGAGCAGGAGGCTGAGGGGGCCCAATGAGGGCGTACCTGGCGAGGGCGTACCTGGCAGCAATGCACCTGGCGGCGGCGCCGGCGAGGGGAAGGGGCGGTGGTAGCAAGAGCCGGGGGCCACTGGCGCCCAGAGCCACGAGTCGCGCCGTCGGCGGCCCACGTGACCGCACCCCCTCCCCCGCGCGTCCACGACTTGGGGCCGGGCTCGGTCAGCCTTAAAGGGCCAGGCGCGCCCAGGCAGGACGGGGCGGGGCGGGAGCCCTAGGCAGACCCCGCCTCAGAGCTGGGACAGACGTAAATGGGGGCGTGGCTTCCCGAGGCGGCCCGCAACCTCCAAGACTCCGCGGCAGCGCCGGGAGACCCTCGTGCGAACACAGCCGGGTACCGTGTGTGCCGTGCGAGCCCCGAATTTTACTAGCGACCTACGAAGTGACAGCTCAGGAAGTCTTGTTTCTCTAAGAGCATCAGGTAGCCATTTGAATCGGGTATTTTCTCTGCAGGCTGCCAGGCGGGCCTTCCAGTAAGGATTGTAAAGCTTGAGACTTTCTTAGTGGTGACCAGCCGCCAGCCTACCTAAAATCTTAATTTTTGCCAACATGTGTAATGAAACGGCATTTCGTTGTGATTCGCATCTTCCTAGTCCCTGGTGGTTCTGAGCGACTCTCCAGCACTTGGCGTCTCTGCCCTCTGTGCATCTCCTGCTCATATCCTTGGCTTATTTTTTCCCTTGGGATATATAGCATCCTCAGATCAAAAATCCTAAATGTCCATTTGATCAGATCCATCAACTTCTCACCTTATAGTTTGGTTGTGTTTAAAAAGTTTTCTCCTCCCATTCCCAGTGACAGATGTTCTCTATTAGCTTTGTGGTTTTTCCCTCCCACATTTAGGTCTATTCTGAACTGATCTAAGACTACCTTACTTATTTTGAGCCAGTTTCCCATCACAAGCTGTTTAAACAAGTTATTTCACAAGTGAGGAAACGGAGGTCCCCTGAAAGGAAACAACTTGTCTAGAGTCGCAAGGTGTGTTGCTGTTTCCTTGGACAAATCTGCACTACTCCTGCACTTCCCGACCACCCCACCCCCAACTCCGAGGCTAAGGGTCCTGAACTTGGTGGCGCACTTGGACAAGGCAGGTGCGACTTGGGGCAGGATTGCTGCGCGTGCCTCTGCTGCCATCTACAGGCCACGTTCAGGACTGCAAGCACCGGAGCCTCCATCCCACTCATAGGTGACTCAGCCGTTCTTCTCCTGGCTTCGGGATTAGGGACAAATGACCCCCATGCCCCAACATACATACGCACGTAGACGCTTGGGCTGCAGGTACAGGCTCTTCAGAGTAGCAGCTCCTGGAAAGCGGGTACCCTCTGTGTGCAGGCATTGAATTGGATGGAGGGGAGGGGTCTCTACCCTGTTTCCTTAAGACGACCTTCAAAGTAGCAGGGTTCAGTGAAACAGGAGGCCCTGATGACAGCCTCAACTGATCTACTTAACCCTTCATTCATATCAGATGCTGACTGGGTGCTCTACCTGGGCACCTCATGACCTCACTGAGACTGGAAGAGGGAAGGGTGTATCCATCCCATGTAGCCTACATGACAAGACACACAAAACAGAGAAACCCTAGGAGGTCAAACAACCTGCCCGAGGTTAGCAGCTATCATAGCAGAGCCCCCATCCCAACTCCAAAGAACAATTCCAGGGCCCAGTTGTCACCCTCAAACTATACCTTCCTTTTGTATGCCTCCCTGCACCCCTCCCACATCCACATGTACAAACATTCTCACAGAGTTCACATATGCACATACATTTACCCATTTGTATATATACACACACAGAGATACACCAACATGCACAAGCACACAACACACACTCACACACATTTTGCCTAGCTGGACCCAGGACCTCTGTCCCTAAGCCCCAACTGAAAATCTCATTCAAGATCTCAGGGCTTTGGAGAAAGCCCTGAGATCCAGAAGCTTCCAATGCTTGGAAGCTGAAGAAGGATTCTCCTTCTAGAGGCAACTGGTTTGGGCCTGGTGAACCCATGGCTGAGCAAGCAGAGTCCCATTTATAAGCAGAGGGCTAGGCAGCTGAGGGTGGAGGCTGGCTCCTTGTCCCAGCCAAGGGCCTCTCCGTGCATTCTCTGAGATAACTTATTTTCTAAAAATGGAGTTAGATTACAATTGTTCTAAAAGTTTTATAATTGTGTGTTTCAAACTGGTGTCTTTTATTAAATTTTAATTGCGTAAGTAAAATTCCTTATTATAATAAGTTTGAACTATACAGAAATGTAAAAAGTCAGCAATGGCAATGCCTTTCCCTTTGCAGTCTCCATAACCATGCCAGTGCTTACTTAAGCACATACATTCCCCACATGGTTTCAACATAGACAGATGTTTTGCAACCGTTCACTTAATCCAGCAGAGTCAGAACGCTTGGTTTCCCCCCACTACTCATGTTCCAGCAGCTATCTGCCATGTCCAAGTGCACGCTGATGGGAGGATTCAGTATTTGGGATGGCTGGGCTGGGGCAGGGGTGGGTTCATGGTGGCAGCCTCTGCCACACAGCCCTCGTGATAGCTGTATGTCCAGGGGATGGGGCTAAGGCCTTTGGAATAGATTACAGTGACCAGGAGGTCTAGCAAGTGCCTGGGGAAGCTGAATACCCCTCCACACACATACATACATACATACATACATATCTACATGTGTGGACTGTCCTTCCGAGAGAGGAGAGGCTGCACATGGTGAGAATATAGAAACCAAATGAGCCAGACTTGGAGGAAGGCACTGCTGTGTATTGTTGTGGCCCATTTTATAACTGTTCTGGGTGAGGAGGTGCAGATTCTGCAGCTAGGGCCATCCCTGCCATGCAGGGGAGGGTTACCCTGGGACAATCTGTGGCTTTAGCAAGTAAAACCAGGAGAAGAATTGCCACTGGGTGGCAGTGTGGCATCAGCAGTCAGTGGGTGCTTGGGAAGCTGCGAGAGCAGGGGAGGTGATCATGAGATGGCCAGAGGAACCCACAACACCTGGGGTAAGCAGGCATGTAGGGCAAAACGGGGGCATACCACTGTTCCCAGCACTAGCTGAGTTGCATAGCGCTGTCAAATTCACAAAGGGTGGTTAGAGGGCAAAATCCTTGGGGCCCTTTAGTTTATACACAGAACTGCACAATCACTGACTTCTGTAGGGGATAGTTTCAAGGGGACACCCATGGTGGTCTGAGGGAAGCTTCACCGAGAAGCTTTCAGCTGGATCCTGAAAGATGCCTGGGAGTTGGCATGTCACAGGCACATAGAGAGGAAGTGGGGGAGAGTTTAGGGCCCCGGGCATCAAGCCCCAACTCACCACCTGCCAATTGGGAGATCTAGGGTACACTGTAACTTCTCTGTGCCTCAGTTTCCTCATCTGTAAAGAAGGGATAATATGTAGTAGTTAGACAATGAAATGAGGCTGGAGATTGCTGACAGCTCCTGGCACACAGTAAGCACTCAGTAAAGTAGTTACAGTTAGAGGGGAGGGGTAGAGTCTTGGAGTAAAGAGCTTGGGATTTGGCCCCAGAGAGGCCCTCAAGTCATAGCAAATTCTAGCTCTGCTGCTCAGCAGCTGTGAAGCCCTTTTGTCTTTATAGTAATGGGACAGTAGGCAGTTCCTATTGGAGAGACAGCACCTTATCCAGGGTCCCATGCTGGGCTCTCCAGGTGCCCCAACGATCAAATGGGTAATGAGGTCTCCATACCTGCCCCCCTCCCAAGAAACCAGCTTCTGGCCTAATCATGTGGAGCTTGCAAGGCTATACTGAACCTCAACTTCCTTTCAGGAAATTTACAGAGAAGTGGGTCCCCTGAAGTCATTTCTCGTCTTAACCAATTATTTTTTCCTATTTCACAGGGTTTTGCTTTTGGAGTCCCTGTTTTCCGCCCCCTCCCAGGCAGAGCAAACTTGGCCATGTCTGCCCTGGGGAAAGCCTGGATGCTATCATTCAGGCCTCTGCACAGTACCAGGAGTCTATCACCCCTGCCAGGGGACCTGAGCTCACCTTTCTGAGGAACCTAGGAGTATACACTGGGCAGTGGGAGAGGAGTGGACCCTGCCACTTCTCCAATTCTCTTCCCCTCCTTCTGGCCCAAGGTCTTGGAGGAGGTGTGCACAACCCCTGTGTTCTTTCAAGATGCTCGTTGGTGAGTCCAATGAACTGGGAAAAGGTGGAGAGGGTCTCGGATAGGAGTGTGAGCTTATGATTCAGAGTTGGAGTCAAACTCAGGCTCTGTTATTTCCTAGCAAGGCATTTTGTTCTCTGGGCCTCAGTCTTCTGGTCTGCATAATAATGGGGGCAATACCAGCTGTTGAAAATCAAACGTTGCAAGTGCTCCATGTGTATGGAAGCAGATGTCACTGCCACATCTCTCTACCTTTATCACCCTACCTCAGTTTAACTCTGAACGTTTGAAGCTCCAGGTCTCACTCCTGCATTTTTTGGGAGGCCCACCAATCCAGAGACACAAGTGAAAAGTCCTGTGGGGTCATCTGGGGGTTGACAGTTCCTGCCTGCCTCCCCAAGTCAGTAGTCACTTCTTCCATGATTGGTGCGCAGGCCAGAGGCCAGCGTGGGCCGAGACTGGATGGCCCTGCCTGGTGCACAAGGTTGGGATGTGTGCCTTTTCCCCCAACTCTTTCAGAGAAAACGTTCTCTATTGGATCCTTTTGGGTCTGGTGGCCACAGGCTTGACCCTGTGTACCCGCTCGAATCTGGGGCCTCCCTCTGCACCCCTACCATCCCCTCAAGCCCCTCTCCAAACCCCACTCATGCCATCCATCTCCGCATCACCCCACACAGAGTTCAGGGATCCGAGTGCGGCCCATAGGGGGTGCTTGCATAACAAGACAGACCACCTTGGAGGCCCGTGACCCCGCCCCCGTGCTGTCATCGGTTCTACAAAGAAATAAGAGGGCCTGTCCCCAACGAGGTGGAGCGCCCAAAAAACGTAAGGACTATGTAGAGCCCCAGCCCCTCCCTGGCCTTCTCCAAACCGGGTCTTTCCCTACTCTTGTTTTAGGTCACGCTTAACGCCGCTGGGTCACGTCATCCGCGGGTCCCTACCCTGCAATTGGCCCGTCCAGGCCACTCGGCTCCGCCTCCTACGCTGCAATTGGTCAGCGTGCAGGTCCCCGCCCCATTTTCCTGGAAAGTTCTTGGAAATCTGTCAAAGGTGTTTCCTTTAGAGGCCCACGGCCCCAGAAGCAGGAGTCGATGCCCCCGTCCGCGCCCCTCCGCGGCCTGGCTGCACAGCCGGCGGTTCTAGGAAGTCGTCGCTTCCGGGAAGGGCTGGGACACAGAGGACAAAAGATTAGGAGCCTTGCCCCGCCTCGCCGTCCTGTCCCGCCCCCCGCGCCCTCCCGGTCGGCAGGCGCCGCCGCCTCTCAGTCCCTGACCGCTGTCTGTGCGCCCTGGTTGCCTGCCCTGCAAGCGAGGTCTGCGCCCACTGGCTGCCTTCAGTAGCCGCCGTCCGGCTGAGCCCCAGCTCCAGAGCTGCCGCCGCTGCTGCCGGGACATGGTCCTCTGCGTTCAGGGGTAAGAGCGGCTGTCAGCCCCAGCCCAGCCTCCACGCGCGGGACACGGGAGAGTACCAGTCTCGTGCTAGCCGCCCGGTATTGGGAGGGTTTGACGGGTTGGAGATGACCGCGCGGAAAGACATCGGGAGTGACAACAGGGAATGGTGACAACGCCGTCACCACCTCTACTCTCACTGTGGGCAGGGAAACTGGGGGTCGGCTGGCCACGGGAGGAGCATAGGGTGAGCCAAGCCTGGGTTCTGGCTGGAGCAGGTAGACCCCAAAGGCAGTGCGTCCTCCAAAACGTGACTCACCTGCCCAGACCCCCTGCTGGGCCAGAGCGCTCTACCCTCGCCTGCCGACTGGTGACCTTGAGCCAGCCCCTGCCTCTCTCTATTCCATCACCCCCTCTCCTGCCCTGGGCTAACAATTAGGCTCTTCTTGGGAACCGGCCTGAGATCCTTGCCTCTCCTCAGGCTGGCATCTGCCGACCAGCAGCTCTTTACAGAGCCTGGTTCTGCCTGGGGCACCCTGACAATTGCCTCACCCCCTCCTCTCAGCCCAGTCTGAGATCCTGCCTCCCTTCTCCAAGTTTCCCAGAGACTCGCAAGGCTACTGATAAGACAGAGGCTTGGGCTCAGCTGTGCATTCTTGTCACATTCCCTCTGTGGAGAGTTTCAGCTCCCCCTTCCACCAAAGGGCCTGGTGCTCTCCAGACTGAGCTCACAGCTCAGAAAGCCCCAGGGAGAGCTGGGTGGCCCAAGGACTGCTGTTATCAGAACTGGGCGGTACCAAGTTAGGGAGCGAAGGTGGGGCAAGACTGAAGTGCCCCTTGCCCTTTGCTCTGAGCAGTCCTGTTTTCAGGATGGAGACCTGCCTGGAGGTGTCAGGAAAACTACTCCTATACTTCTGATTGTCTCCAGCATCTGCCTTCCTCCACTCTGAATTCTGGGACTCCTGAACACCTCACCACCACCCCCCACTGCCTTCATCCCCGGACACACACACACCCCCACCTCGCCCCAACTCTTGGGTCCTACACTCTCTTTCACTTTGCTCTAGCTGAACCTCAGGGCCAGTGTTGTATGTTAGTGAGCAAGATTTTAAGACCTACACACACACACAGCCACAGACTAGCTGGTGCCCTCCTGGGGTAGGGACAGGGGTTCCCAACTCTAGGTTTGCTGCCAGTTTTGCTGAGGGGTCTCCCCTCAGGGCTGAGTTTGCTCCACTGGCATGTGTCCCCAGGCAGGACTCACAGGCTAAGACTTCACAGCAGGCACACACATGTACAGGCCACCCACACCTGGAGCGCACCACCCCCGCCATGGATGACACAGCCACAGACACGCCCCTCCCCAGATAGTCACTCACCAGGAGCTTGTGAAAACCAACACAACCATTCATGCACCCAGACACCATATCAGCCTTAGAGGTGTCCACACCCACATGTGCCCTGCTAAGTTGTCTGGACATGGCCACCCCCAGAGGCTCCAGCCTGACCGGCTAGCCGCCTAACATGCTGGCAGATTTCTAAACCTGAGCGGAGCTCTGAGGCCCAGCAGGCAGACCACCCAGCCATTTCCTTGGAACTCAGCCTCCAGCCGCCTGAGTGGGACCCCAGAGCCCCCATAGTGCAGCCAGGGTGTGTGTGGAAGAGTATGAAGCAGGCGGTGGTGTGCCAAGGTCTTGTGGCCCCTTCTACTCATGAGTGGTCCTTGGCCCTGATTTGTTAAAATCTTCTGCAGGTCACCTCTCACCTTTACTGTCAGGTCTGGCTCCTGCTGCCAGATCCTGTGCCCATCTCTTCCTGCCTCATGAGCAATACCAGGCACTGAACCCATGCTGTCATCTCTGCCTGGAGTGCCTTTCCCCCTATTCCTTCCTTTGGCCTGGCAGACTTGGTTCAGGAGCAGGGAGACCCTGACTTTCCCGTGACACCCTTTGCTTTTATGACTGGGTTATAAGTTCTCTTTGAGGCTTGGGCCAGTGGTTGTTTTTTTTTTTTAAATCTTGGTGTCCTGAGACCCAGCAGGGGACCAGACCCAGAGCTGAGGCCTAAGGATGTATTTTGTGAGGAGTAAGGGATGACCAGCAGTCCCTTCCTTGGGAACCAGGACTATGCTGAGTGGGGTTGCCCGAGAGAGAAGCTACTGCTCACATTGGGGCCAGCTCAGCAACCCAACCCTAGCCAACTGAGAATATGGTGTGGACAAAGCCCTCGTGATCTGGGCTGGTAGGACCCTCACTGGGAGTGAGGAAGCAGTCCTAGTGACAAGCAAGGTTTGCCTAAGATCATAGAGCCTGGTAGGGCTGGCCTGCCAGAGTGGGAACTGGAATGTGAGATGAGTTCCCTGCCCTTTGGCAGGAGCCCCTGTTTATGGGAGGTGGGACTTCCCACTGCCTTGAGAGGCCGCTGTCACCCCCCAGACCCTCAGCTGGGAGGAGCAGAGAGCAGGATGGGAGGCTGACCTGTTTAAGCCCTGCCGAGTGTGGACCTAGGTCCCTCCAGTACATACTCCTGTCCATGGGGAGGTAGCACGTGACCTCAGGCCTCCTACCATAATCTTGGGCCTCTCTGGAGGACCCCACGCAGGCCCATGCCAAGACCAATGCTATTTAACAGCCCACCTCAGCCAGGAGGGCACCAGTGTGAGAGGTTTCTGCGCACTGGATTCTTTCAGTGTGGTGCGGACACTGAGCTAGAAATGCCTATGGGGAATGATCTGTGGTTTTGGTTGGTGCAAAATAGAGATTACCTAATGTTTAATGAATGCAGGAGGGTGGAGAAGTCTCTTTCAAAAGAGAACCCACGTGTTGGGGAAGCAATCAAGGGGACTTTTGTGATGACAAGTGGGAGGTGGGTACTGGACTCATTGAGCCCAGGGGTGAGCAGAGGGGAGGCTGAGGCTCATAGTAAGATGGACTGGCCAGAGGTCATGTAGACAGCCTGGGGCGTAGGGGATCTCTGGAAATGGGGAGAACACAGGGCCTCCACTCACTGCCAATCCACTCCCTTCTAGACCTTGTCCTTTGCTGGCTGTGGAGCAGATCAGGCAGCGGCCCCTGTGGGCCCAGCCCCTGGAGCTGCCTGAGCCAGCTATGCAGCCTTTACCTGCCGGGGCCTTCCTGGAGGAGGTGACAGAGGAGACCCCGGCCCAGCCAGAGAATGAGCCCAAGGTGCTGGACCCAGAGGAGGATCTACTGTGCATAGCCAAGACTTTCTCTTACCTTCGGGAATCTGGTGAGTCTAAGGAGGAGGGCCTTGTCCTAGGCAGTCCGAAGGGGGAAGCTTAGCCCTGCCTGTTAAATCTGATTTGAGAGTCATGGCCCTGCCCTGGGGAGTCTGATGAGGGAGGTACAGCCCTCCCCAGGAAGCATGAAGCGGGAGGCAGAGCCGTCCCCTGCCCTGGGTTGGTGCCCCCAGCTAATTTCCACTGTGACCAGTCTCTCACCCCCCTCTTCACTTGCCTAGGCTGGTATTGGGGTTCCATTACGGCCAGCGAGGCCCGGCAACACCTGCAGAAGATGCCAGAGGGTACATTCCTCGTACGTGATAGCACTCACCCCAGCTACCTGTTCACACTGTCGGTCAAAACCACCCGAGGTCCCACCAACGTGCGCATTGAGTACGCCGACTCCAGCTTCCGCCTGGACTCCAACTGCCTATCCAGACCACGCATCCTGGCTTTCCCAGATGTGGTCAGTCTTGTGCAGCACTATGTGGCCTCCTGTGCTGACACCCGAAACGACAACCCTGACCCTGCACCCACTCCAGCCCTGCCTATCCCTAAGGAAGACGTGCCTGGTGACCCAGCACTGCCCACTCCTGCGGCCACTGCTGTGCACCTGAGACTGGTGCAGCCCTTTGTACGCAGGAACAGTGCCCGCAGCCTACAGCACCTGTGCCGCCTGGTCATCAACCGTCTGGTGGCCGACGTGGACTGCCTGCCACTGCCCCGGCGCATGGCCGACTACCTCCGACAGTACCCCTTCCAGCTCTGACCCAGCCAAGCACCCTCCCTGCCTCACCCAGCCATCCCCTGGAGGGGACAGCAGCCCCAGCTGGACTTGGGCTCTCACTGTTTCTCCTCCAGTCATCCTGCTGCCCACGTTAGCTGGACCAGGAAGAGTCAGCAGGAGCAAGGCTAGGCATGAAGGATAGGGTCAAGTGTCACACAACTTGGAGGTCGCACCCCCAGCTCCCATGTGGCTCCATGGTGGGGAGCCATGTGTCAGAAGAGAGGGAGACAAGCAAGACCTCATCTCACCCCGTGGGCTGGGCCCAGGCCCCCGCTCGCCTGCCGTGTCTTCCTGAACTGTGCAGACTTTGCCCGCCCTGGCTCCTCAGTTCGCAGGGTGGGGCATGCCTCCTCCTTCCAGCCGCCTTTCTCAGGGAGGATGGTGGCCAGAGGAACTAAGGTTGACAGTTCCAGTGCCCTGGTGGGGGAGCAGGCCAGGCTGCGGACTGCACAGTTAGACACTATTTATTTATTTATTTATTCTCCTTGGTTGGTCTCAGGGTGAGTCAACCCCACCTCTCTGCCCTGAGCCCTAAGTGCTACAGAGACCCCAGGTCTGCCCCAGCTTCTCTAGTTCTTCCCTGTGGAGAGCCCCCATCCTGAGACGGGTTGCTGGACCCAAGGTGATTGTGGATGTCCTGGAGCTGACCCCACAAACCTGTGAATGTGTCCACCCGCTTCTGCCCCCAGCCCCATTTTGAAAGGGTGATTGAATGGACAAGAAAATGGAGCTACCGCTTGGGGACCCATCAGAGCCTGCCGTTCACCCGCTGGCAGGGCAGAGCTCTGTCTGCGCAGAGCTGGTCTTGCTAGGACACAGCCCTGCATGAGTGCACGTGCCAGGCCAGGAAGGGCTGCCGCTCCGCTCTGCTGGGTCTGCCTCCTGCCCAGGGAGGTTCCTGCCATGAGAGAGAGAAAGAAATACATATCTGATAAGATTTTATAAAATAATTATTATAACCAAAAAAAACCAGTTTGGTAGTTTTATTTCTTCTACCAATTTTCCTGTAATGACAATAAAATTGTACTTTTCATTTGTGGAGCCCTGAGTGGGACCTCTTTTGAGTTCTGTACACAGTTTGCCCCTTTTATCTTATTATCATTTTGTTATCACTTTACATCTGGGGCAGCTGAGGCCCAGGGACCTGATGCGGCTGAACAGGCCCTGCCCAGGAGAGTGATGAGAGAGGTACAGCCCTCCCCAGGGTTGCATGAAGTGGGAGGCATAGTGGAGGGGACAGGGAACAGCTTTTATCCTTTCATTTCCCCTTGTTCCCCTTGGAAGATAGGAGGCAGGAGGTGAAAGCCAGTCGGGCTGCCTACAGGGTCACTGCCTCGGCCACTGCCAGGTGGGGGGTAGTGGCAAGGGAGCACCGGACCTGAGAGATGTGTAAACAGGAGATCCCAAGTAAAGATTAAACGTGGAGAATTCTAAGGGAGTAGGTGCTGTGGACTATCCCTGGGGGCAGCATCTCCTGAGATGATGAGGCCAACAGTCAGAAGTCAGGGCCAGCCATCCCAGGGAGAAGGTACAGGGAGTGCCAAGGCACCAGGGCATGACTAGGAAGCTCATATTCCCAACCACATGGAGGCCTAGGTAGGGGTCATTCTGTGCAGTGGGGCAGAACATTGAGTTGGGGATGGTAGCGAGTAAGCTGGCAGGGTCTGGCCTGGGGTGGGGCTGGTGGGGCTCTGGCCCAGGCTGGTTGGGGTTGGGGGACCCTCTCCTCTCAGAGTCCTACAAACCAAAAGTAGGTGAAGAGCAATTAAAATGAAAACACTCTCCCTTGTTTGATGGTCTGACTTGGGAACACTTCTGCACCTGGAATCCCACTATGTCCTGAAATTTCCTGCGCCTTTACTTGAATGCCTCACAGGAAAGCTCCTCTGAACCTTGTTCATAGTCTTCTAACCCTTACTTTAGAAATAGTTCTAACCTTCCCGTTTTCTTAGCCTTTAGACGATTAGAAGTTGCAGATTAGAAGAGGCCAATGCTGGCAGATTGAGAGGGAGAAGTTGTGAGAAGTGACATGTTGATGACGAGGAGGAGGCAGGAAAGGATAAAAAGCAAGAACTGTGGAGGCCCCGGACTTTGGGAGCTGATATTGGGTGAGAATGAGCAGGAGGCGGGTGAGGACTGGCTTTACTGGGAGTGGTGCCCAGACCCAGATGTTCAGCTGGTGCCTTTTCTGTTGTTGGCTACAGGCCCCAACAGCATGCCCCCTTCAGGTGACAATGGCCCTGCCAGGGATGTCTGCCGCTCCTCATTGCTTCAGCCTGGATCTTACCCCTTTGTGATTCCCAAAATGCCTGAGGTGACCCCTCTGTCTGTTCCGCCCCCAGTTATGAGTCACCCAGTGGGCGGGTAAAGGACATGGAGGGGCCAACGTCAGGCTGTTCCCCACCTGGTGCCGTAGTCTGGACAGAAAGCTGCTTTGGCCAGAGGAAGCCAGGAAGTTCATTGTCCACAGAGGGGTGATGTCTCAGGGTCCCCACTAGGTGCTGGCAATGGACAAGGGCTTTGTGCCTCATGTAGTGCTCACCACGACCCTGGGAGTAGCTCTAAATATTACCTATACTCCACAGATGAGGAAACTGAGGCCCAGAGGAGAAAGGGACTGGCTGAGGAAGTGAGGCACAGAGTAGAGCTAGCCCTGAGGGGTCCCAAATGCCCATCTGCCCCTGGACTGCTGCATGAAATGGCGAGGACAGCAGCTGGGGTGGCAGCTGTCAGGCAAGTTGCTCTTGGATGCTGGTTTTATGCCCCTGAGTCTCTGCCTGCTAAGGTCTCTGGAGCCAGCGGAGGTCCTATCCTCCTCGCCCTTGACTCAGCTCAAGCCAGGGTTCCTCTCTTGCCTGGGGATGGGCTGCCAGCTACTTCTAACCACGGTACTTTTCTGCTTCAATCTTATTTTCACGTTTCCCCATTGGGGAAGTGAGTGATGCCTGCCTAGAACAGAAACAGTGGAGGTAGTGTCATTGAGTCCCAGACCCAAGAGAGAGGCCCAGCCTGACAGATGCTGACAATCCTCTGGCCAATGCGATCACCCCTGGGTGGTCCTGGGCTAGTAAGAGGGGCACACTCTGCCAGCACTGGCCAGGGAGAGGGAGGAGCCGTCCGGTGGGTGCACAGCCCTGCACAACATACAAATAATAGCTGGTGGTCACCCTTTTCCGATTAAGTCCTTTCCCAGCTCATGTGCTTCTTGGGTATGAACTGGGCCAGACTTTATCCAGGCCCTGGGGGCACAGCAGGGAAGAAGATGGACATGATGCCCATCCTTGGGGGGCTCATGGGCTGGTGGACAAGAGACAATAAACAAGTGAACAAATGGGTACTCAGGAAAAGTTTTGAGAGTGAATAAAGCAAAGCAGAGAGCAGAGCAGAGAGTGGTGTTGAGTGTGGGGGCACTGCTACAGAGGAGAGGGTCAGGGAGCAGGGTGGCACTGAGCCTGGACACCCGAGCAAAGAGCAGGAGCTGGCTATGCCCACAACATAGGGTAAGGACATTCCAAGTGGCAGGAACCACCAGTGCCAATGGCCCTGAGGCAGGGACAAACCTGGTCTGATACAAGCTAAGCGTCTGGAATGGCTGCCCAGGGCAGAGGAGGCACATGGGATGGTGGAGCGCCTCTTCAGAGTTTAGCAGGAATATGCTCTGATCTGATGCTCATTTCTAAGGGGAGGACCTGTCAGCTGGGTGAGGATGGCCCCACAAGGGCCTGGGAGCAGGAGGCCAGAGGAGATTGAGAGGTATGAGATACGGCAAGGTAAGGTGAGGTGGGAGTGGGAGGAGGCAAGGGCTGCAGCTTGGCGATCTGGGCGGGAGTTCATGCTCCACTGCGTTCTCACCGAAGCCTTGCACACCAGCAGAGGTTGTTCCCATTTGCAGCTGAAGAGGTAAGACTCGGAGAGAGGTAGTGGCTTTTTCAGGGTCACACAGCTTTTGAGGGGCAGAGCCAGGGTTCAAACTCTGACTCCAGAGCTTGTTTGTGTACCTACTGCTCCGCTCTGCCTCCCAGGGGTTAGCAAGCTAAAGCCCTGGCTCCCACAAGGTGCTGAGGGCATGCAAAAAGGGGTGGGGCAATTCAGGAGGGCTTTCTGGAGGAGGGGGCAGGGGCTGAGGGCTGGGCCCTGAAGGATTCTGCCAGGCCATGGGGAGGTGGGTTTGGAGATTGATCCTGTGTGGTATGCCTCCCTGGGTTCACAACACCCCTCCAGAACAACTTTGGGGACGGAGAGTCCACTAGGTCATCCAGGTTTCTCTTGTCAGTGAGAAGAGATCTTGCTGGGACACTTCATCCCTGATCACTGAGTGTCCTAACACCCCCTGGATCATCGGGGCCCCTGCACCTGGGTCCGGCTTTTCAGCTGCCAGCTGAGCAAATCTTGCTAGGCTAAGGATGAACACAGGTCTGAATGGGGCTGGGGGCATGGCCAGGCCGGCTCCACTCTCAGAGGGGAACCCTTCAACCCTGCGCAGCCACCCACAGAGCAGTGGAGGGGCAAGGGGCCTGACATAGGCCTGAAAGAAGGCAGGACGATTCTGGGGACCTCCCAGAGGCCCTCTTCCTCCAGGAGAAGTGGAGCCTGTGCAGGCCTGGGCAGCCCTTTCACACCAACCTGTTAGACCAGTTTCAATATAAAGCAGGTTCAAGCTTTGCCAGAAATTCGGTTGCTTCTCGTGGCGAATGTGTCCTCCCCACCCCATGACTGTGAGGTGTGGGGCCCCATCCCCAGCTTAGACCAGCCACACAGCCGGCTGCCCAAGGGGCCACTCACCCCAACAGTCACTCTGGGGCAGCAGCCCCACACCCTGGTTTTGCCCCAGCCTTCCCTCAAGTCTGGACTGAGGGCTGCGCACTTGGTTCTGGGGACTTTCCCTCAATCTCACTGAACTCAGTTGATTCCTCGGCTGTGAAACAGAGAGAGTGACAGCACTTCTCTCAGAAGGGACATGGGGGTCCAGGGGGACTGGGGGCTTTTGAGGTGATGCTAAGGAGAGCCTGAGAAGGTTCAACCTGGCAGTTGCTGCCGCTGTCATTGTAACTACTCCTTGTCCATCTGTTTGTTTTAATCCCGTTTGCGAGGTGAGCTGGGCAGGTATTGATGTCCCCTGGGGTCCCCGTGGAAGCTGCAGGGCAGCTGGGCTGGAACTCGTGGGTTTCTGAGCAGCTCCGAA